TCTGTGTTCCTCAGCTCAGCAGCCTGCACCCCTTGGATTGCAGCACAAGGCTAAAGGGATGATACCCCTTCGCTGAACTGCTTTCAAACAAACCATTGCCAGAAAGGGACTGTGAGCTCTTGAAAGCAACAGCCAGCTTTGTGTTCCTGGGGAAGGTGAACGTCCAGTGCTAAGATGTAGCTCTGCTGAGTGCTTTCTTTGGTTGCACATTGAAGACTTCAGCTCCCTTTTCACATAGCCTGTTGCTAAGGGTGCTGACATGTCCCATGCTCCATCAAGCTCCTTTACAGGATTAAGGATATACTTACCTGGAGCTCATTGCCAGGGTGGGGCATGAGCCTGTATTTGTTACCCAGCACAGCTAACGACTACACTATTAAACTATGCGATTACTTAATCTGACTGTGCCCATTTAATTTTTCCTTTTCAGCTTCCACCCTCTCCCGAGCCTCCTATTCTCATCAGAGATGAGAAATTAAAATCACTAGAATTTGTTTCTATGGTAAAATACACCTGCAAGAGCTTGATGGTCCTGGCAACCTCCCACGTTTCAGAATCTCAGCCAGATATTTAGATGTTTGTGGTGACTTCATCTTTCAGCTCTGGAGTTGTCTGACCCAATGGAGTTCACTAAACAAGCAGAAACCTCTTCCCTGCTTTCTCCCAAGTTGGATTTCTACTAGCTCAGTGAGCTTGATCAGCCAGCTGAAGATAAGATTAGTGCCAGAGCCAATGCAAAGGGGGCAATGGGGGAAGGGAGATGAAGACAGAGGGGTGCAGGCTTGCTCTGTTGCAGGTTTTTAGGTCAATCAAGTCATTTCAGGAAGCCTCTTCCTCCAGAGGTTTAGTGAAACCATCTCTCCTTTACAGAGCAGCCTTCTGGAGCTGTTCTGTGAAGAGGAACAAGCTATTTCTTTTTCACAAGGGAGTGGTAAGGTCACCTCAAAGGTGTTATGGAAATTAGATGGGGGAGAGGCCCCCAGTTACTCATCAGTGAGTGGGTGTGAGGTTGAGGAAAGGATTTTAAAGATGCTCGGAGGTAACATAATGCTCCTGCTGAGAGCGTCAGAGGAAGGTATGACAGATGGGGGAATGTTTTACCCAAGAGTTTTATACTGGCTCTACCTGCCTCAATCTCTCTGCCTCGGGCTGTCTTACCAATCCCCTCTTAGAGGAAGTGGTTCAGGGTTAAACCTGAGACCTAGTTCTGATGGGAGGGATTTCAGTATTTTCTGCTTCACTGTTGGATGAATCACATAAAGCAGGGGATTTCAGGACAATTGAGATTTCAGTCCCAGGCAGAGATGAAGGAGAAAACTGTAAGTGCTGCGGAAAAGATTTAAACAAGGAATCTCACAGACTTGAAACCCCATCTAGGGGAACCCTCTCATCCTTGAGCCTGCATTGAAATTGAGCTGGACCACATCTGGGCTTGAGGAGTCCAAGAATTAACCCCTCTACCTGCAACTTCACGTAAACTGGGAAGTTGACCGGTCTGTGACTCTTCCTGCTTCTTCTCCTGTGGTGGGAAGTCCTCATGTGGAGGCACAGGGAGTGCTGCAGTGAGGCCACAGACTGTGGTCAGATACTGTGATAGCTATACCTGGGCAGCACATCACAAAGAGTTCTCCTCACCCCATAGCTAGAAGGCCTTGAAGATATGTGATGCAGCTGATCACAGGCCTGTGACAGCAGGCATGAACAATATTAGCTTACATTTGCTGTGCATTCACTCGTTCTTGGCTCTAGTCTGCTGAAGAGAACTGCTCAAGTCAATAAACTTTGTACCCGGGAATGCTGGATCTAGAGACAAGAGTTAGCAACTTTCAGTACGTAAACTTAATCAAGCCTTCTGTTTTCTTTGGCCAGAATTGCCCATTGACACACACACTTCCCCCCTCAGCCTGAAGGATGCAAGCCAGGCCAGTGGGCTATAATGTGGCATGGCTGAGGGGGTAGGAGCTCCTAAAGTGCTCCTCAGCACTTTCTCAGTGATGAAGGAGGCTGAGGAGGCACAATTTCATTTAACAATATCATTCTAAGCCTGACATTACAGCACAAAAGTTGATAGGAGTTATATAGGCCTTAGTGTCTCAGAGCTTTGGCTTGAGTCACACATAGGAGTGACTATTTTCTTCAACAGGTGGAATACTATACAGACCCAGCTACTGGACAGGCCAGTAGTAGTGGCTGGGAGGTACATGTTGCTGCTCCATATCGTAGCCTCCACAGGACAACTGGCCTCGCAACTCAGGCCAGAGGTGTTGAAACCAAAGGTATGGGGACCAGCTGCTGATCCATGGGAAAGCGTCTCCCTAGGTCCATTATGCAATGTCTCTTCCCCTCCTATTGTACCCAAGGTCCTATTTCATAAGGCCCACATCTTCTGTGGGGTGATCCACACAAAAACTGGGCAAAATAATAAAATGCTAGGCAAGAATATATTTTGGCAGAGCAGATATCTGCTGTGGGTAGCTTCTGCTTTCCACAGAAGTATCAAAGCCTGGCAGAGACCTTGAGCAGGCAACAATCCAAATACACCTCACTCAAAGGATCTTTCTGTTTTTATATTAACGTGTCCACTCCTAAGCAGCATACATCCATGCAGCAAATGTGAGATGTGAATCAAGTCCCATCAAAAATGTGTTTTCTAACCTGAAAGGGACAGAACTATCTCACAGTGCAGAAGAAAAGTTACCTACTTGCAGGCTAACTACAAAGATCTGTTTAGGAGTTCCTGCTGCAGAAAAAATGCCAGAGTCCTATTCAGGGCACAAGAGTTCCTGATTTATGGAAATTGTCAATCACGTGAGGGACTGCTGAACCAAAAAGTCATAATGTAGAAAATACAGCATCACTTATAACTTAGAACTGGCTTAGGAAGTTACTTGCTTTCCTGAATTTCCCTCCTTAATGAAGTTTTGGTATCCTGCTCTTTCCTTTTACATATGAAAACTTGTAAAATACGCCTTCTTTGAACTACTTGACCCAATTTTTATCACTGAATTCAATAACCTCAAAATGAACACAGTCCTCTCTTCCCCCTTTCACTGTAATTAAGGTGCTCTTAAGCATTGCCATTCTCTTTTGCCCTTGAGTGACACTTACTTAGCTCTTGTAATTAAAATTGCACCCGAAGGACTGGGCGCTGGGAGGACACTGGCATTGTTCCAGGCAAGGCTGTGGGGTTGCCACCAAACTCAATCGACTGGTGGTGTTTTGTGGGACACTTTAGGGTGTCTTATATAGGAGTCTAATGAGGAGCTCTCCTGAGGTTTTTGTCATCAGTACCTTGGGGGACTTTCATGGATGCCTGGCCTGAGGTATTTTTATCCTGCTTTTCTACACATGCTGACTTTCAGTATTTCCCTCCAGAGAACTCATCAGTGCCAAGGCTTCCCCAGTTGAATGCGGAGAGCTGGCCCTGGAAGTTTGACTATAGTTCAGCCTCATGAGGAAATTTTTCTCCATTAACTGATCTTAGAGCCAGAAGAAACCAAATAGGTTAGTTCTAATCTTCCCTTGCCCAATCAGAAAGTCTTACTTCAATCACACACACTGCAGCAGAGCTAGAGAGTGCTTCTCAGACACACTTCCAGCAAAGGCAAAGCACGCCTCATGTTATTGCCCTTAGAGATGGTCAGGCTGTCGGATGTCCAAGTAGGGATGGTTTCATTCTCTACGAGGAGGGGAAGGCAAGCCTTCTTTCAGGCTGACTAAGATCATATTTCTTCTGTGATTTAAGAAAGACAAAAAAAGGCTGGGCCTGACTAACACTAGCTTAATAGACATTCTTGATGATGTGGAAATCTTTCCCAGGAAATGAATGAAATTCCGCCAGCCCTCAGCTTCCTCATTCACACCACCTGCCATAAGGCAAAGCAGAACACCTTGGAAATTACAGAAAACAGGCAAAATTTTCAGGCCTGCTCTGGGACAAAGCAGAGCAGAACAGGGAAGAATAGCCCTTAGATTTCACATATAGGATATTTAAGGCTGTTGCTGTGTTGCAAGGTATGTTTTTTCCCAACACTTTATCTGGCACTTTATTTTAAGATACTTTTTGCCATGGCATTTAAATTCATAGAAACCACATATCCGAAGAAATTTGATTTTCACACACCCCTGCCACCAGTTCACATGGTGGAAGTCCTGGCTCATGGGAGATGCAGTTCAGCCAAGGATGTTCGTCAGTAGGAAAGAATAAGGGCTGTAGCTCTCTAAACTGTAGTTCCCAGGAAGCTATACAAACCCCCAAAGAAGTGCATTAGTGCAAGGCATGCGAAAAGCATGCTGCTAGCTATTATTTTAATATTTCTTTTTACTCTCCACTTTACAGCTGCAGCATGCAATTCTTTGAATTGACTATAGCAGAAAAATCTATGTGGTCTTCATGCACAGCTTTTAATGTATGATGATCTTTTCTTTAACTGCACTTTAAATAAAAAAAAAAAAAAAGGCAACAACGCACACAGATCTAAAGGACGGTAGAGGCTGGAAAGGGCATGTGGTTCCTTACTCCCTGTGATTCTCATACCCGCAATCACACTAAGAGCTGCTAAGAAGATTTGTAGCACAGGACTCCACCACAAGAAACCACAGACAGGATCACTTGCTACAAGGATTCAGACTGCTCTCAGCATCCATAGTCTTAAGTACCCCAGGCTGGGGACCATTTCATATCTATATTCCCATAGATATCCAGAGAGGAACAAGGTATTTCTTTTTTTCAGTTAAATTAGCTAGATGAATTCACTATGAGCTGAAAGTTGCTAAGGACATTGCACAGAACTACACAGCATGCTCATTTTCACCCACCTCTGCAACCCCACTCCCTTCCACAGTATTTTTGTCCATTTGGCTTTATTTTGCTCCAGCTACCACCATCCAGACATGAAATAAGGAAGAAAAACGGTATTGAATTTTGATATTATTTATTACAAATTAAAGTTTAAAAATTATCATCTAAAAACCAATAGATTTAAATAAATACACAGATATCAGGATGCTACATATGGAATGTGCAATAAGTTACTAAAAGAAAAGACATCATACACACAAAAGGAGATATACATAGTATTTTACAGCAGTAGTTTTATTTTAAATTACTAGGCTCACATTAAACCATGTGCAAAGTTTCCTTTGGAACAAACCCTTTTAGGATTTTTTTTAGAATGACTGAAACCTTCAGAAGGTCACATATAAAAAGTTTCTCTGCAGCTTTGGGGACCAAATGACTTGTCTGTTTTTTCATTTATGATACAATCAATTGGTCTCATTTTCTCCCCCTCTAGGGCTTACGACAAAATTAAAGAAATATTTTGCATGTCCAATGGGACTACACTTGCAACAGCCACAGATTTTGGTCCACCACCAACTTCAAGCAGCCTTTTAAAATGCTCACGTGTAATACTGGATTGGGCAGCGAGGGGGACCAAACAGTGATTCCAGGAGAGCAATTATTTATCTACACTAACGAGATGACAGTTGCAGCCATGCTTTAGAATAGAAGTTAATCCACCCAGGCAAATGAAACTGCATTTGTAATACCACTCCAAAGCCTTAAGACTGTCTGCCTACAGGATGGGCTTCAAGGCTCTGGGCTTAGTGTTCTTCCAAACTATTCCTGCCTCTCTTCTAAGCCAGCAGCACTGTGTTGCTCCAGGTCTGGCAAAGAGGCCATGATTTTTGCTCCTGTTTAAATCCAGCCCTTTCTAAGGATGTGCAGACAGTGCCATGCTCTCATCTTGGTGACCTTTTTTTCCCACGTTAATCCCACCCAGCTGCCCCTTGCCTATTCATTCTCTATTCAGGCTACGCGTCTCTTAGTGGCATGCTATTCATGCTGGTCATTTATTATAAAGCCTGACTCAGACACCTGAGCTAAGCGAAGCAGCAAGCAAGCCTTTGGATGCTATTTTCCCACCACCCATCTTCTCTGCTCCTAGCCTTTCCTTTCAGGTAGAGCTGAAAGAAAGCTGAGGTGTTTGTTAGGTTAAGAGGTGGAAGTTGTCTGCTCCACAAGGGGTATGTCTAAGGAGATGAGACAGATTCATACCACTGAACTCATCCAGACTAGCAGCTTGGCTCTGCACCTAACCTAGCAGGGCTCCTTTCCCAGGTAACAGGTGGCTTTATGTATGGGGCTCCTGCACAGCTGTGGCAGCAGAGGCTACAGAAATGCAGCTCCTCTTGAGCCTCCCCAACCCTGTTGCCTCTGTACCCAGTGGGCAGGGGTCATGCTTGGATTTGATGCAAGCTCAGATGTAAAGAAGCTATCCTCCATCTAAACAAGAACCACATAAAGACGGTCCTTCAGTTAATTGCTTAGCCAGAGAACGCCACTGACTACTCAGTTGGCTTTCAGGCTTCTAGAAGATTCATTATTGTAAGAACTGGGAACTGTTTTGTCATGGGAGTCTCATTCATATGCACATCACACTGTCTGACAAGTAAGAGGAAAAAAGCGCACAGATGGGCCCAAGCAGGCCCTACTGTCATCAGTTTATCCCCATCTACAATGGCCAGCCAAACCATGTTTGAATGGAGTCAAGGTGGAACCATGTTCAAACATGGTTCAAAGGCAGAGTAGACCAGGCCTGTGATATGGGACTTCAGTGCTGCCAGGTCCAGAACTGCACATAGCTGCTTGCTTTGTAAGTGATTCAACTGCCCAGGGTGGGCTGGCCATCTGTCTAGGTATCCAGTGCAGAGTTTAGCTGATACTCTACCAGTAAGACCCTTGCCTGATCCAAGAAGGCACAATTCAGCTCCACAACACATCTATGACTGTATAGAGAGATTCTGTTTTCCCTTTACAACAGTCTCTGGAGTGCATACAGTACTGGTTCATGCAACAGGAGCATGGAGACTTCCACTTCTTCCCCCTTTCGCTTACGGCCATTCCTTCAGCTCTAACTACCAACAGCGGAGTTAGTGGCACCCACGGGACTCCAAATTCTTCTGGTGAACTTGGTTAGTTCCTGTTTCTTATCTCTTTTTCTTCCAGATATTCTTCTTCCAAGGCAAAGCTGTTGGCTGAGCGTTCCCCTGAGAACGGTGCTGCTGTTTGCCAAACTGCAAATTGGAGATGGCAAGATCCCTGAAAACAGAAGAGACAAGACGTTCAGCCTCCCATCCATTGTCTTACCACACAACAATAGCCTGCATTATGATATTTACCTACTGTTCACCAAGTTCTTTTGCAAAGTAGAAGATAAGAGAAGGAAATGGGGGTGGGAAAGAGGATTCTAGCTGTGGCTGTATTAAGTAACAGCAGAAATCCAACTATAACAAAATCCTGTTTCCACTAGTGTCCAGTGATGAAGGCTTACAGGAGAGTCATGCCATGCTGCATCCCAAGCAGTACTTGAAGATCTGCCCTCTAGAGATGGCTCCCAAAGCATCTGGTTTAATTGCAACCAGTGGGCCAATCCTCCTTAATGTGCCAACTCCCTTTAACTTATTTACTCTTCTGGAATCCACAACACCTTCCTGCAACAACTTCCACAATTCAGTTCTGCAATGTGAGAAGAGCTATTTCCTTTGGTCCAAAGCTGCTTCCCAGTCATTTCCCCTGTGTGCCCTCCCCCCACCACTTCTTGTGCATCACCTGCTTGCCTGTTTCATATCAGAGGAACCTCCCTCACTCCAATGAAGAATTATATTTCACATAATATTGCTCCAGGTTTGGAGGAGGCTAATGACCTTCGTTCCCTTAGCCTTTAGCCTTCAATCCTTTATAAAGGGAGCAGAAAGCGTCAAGCCCACTAATTTAAATGAAGGCCATAGGGAAAAGCCAGGTCAAATCGGAATAGAAACTACAGTCTGGGGTCACAACCCCAGATTTTAAAGTGTTTGCAAGGGAAGGTTAGAGTCAGTTAAAATGGCACGCTCACCTGAGAGCTCTCAGCAGGCCATGCTGGGAAGGCCTCATGCCACTGCTCTGCAGAGTCTTCATCGCTACTCCAGAGCTCGCTGGGAGCCTCACGTTCTGGAGGTACCTAATAAGCAAGAAAAGATGTACATAAGCCACTCACATCCAGCCATGATATGGCAGGTACCAGGGGGAGTGTTGCTCTAACATCCCTGATGACAGTTGAATGCATGTTTTTTGAAGGGTTAATTGCAGCTATTTATAGATCACTTTTACTGTTATCCTTTTTCTGTCAGATCCCACTCAATTCATAATTAAAAAAAAATAGTCATTAAATGTGATTTTTCCTTTGGTATAAGATTAAAGACAGATCTCTACAGTAACTTTGTTCCCCACCTCTCCATCGTGTAAACACATCTGTACATGGCTGACTGAAGTGTGACAACTTACTGAGAGCCATTATGCACTACAGAAACAGCAGGCTACAGAGAACCACAGGAATTTGATCCCTGAGCCCCAGCTCCCAACAATACTGCCCTCCTGAGGCCTCTCTCCCACCTGAGCAATGCATGAGATGCTAGTGTCTCAAGGCCAGCTTCACATCTTCCGCTTACCCCTCTCCCAACGTGTTGCTTGCATCTCCCTTCCCAGCACTTCCTCAGCCTCCTGGCACCAGGAGGGATGGGGGTAACGACGTTTTGCATCAACCAGTAAAGCGACCATTGTACAGCAAAAACACCCTAGTGACACTTTGTCACAGCTTCTTGGGAGGGGTATGAAAGCCACTAGACAAGTTCCAGCTGTTTGCAAAGAGCTGCACAGCCGTCCCCAGCGAGTTTGTAGAGGTACTCTTGCTCCTAAGCTTTGGCTCTCTGGTTGCACCCTTGCCAAGCAGACCCCAATGGCAGCGAGATCTGAAGGCATGGTGTCCCCCAGACCTGCTCGACTTACCCAGGCTTTGCCTGGCAGAAGGTGGCACAGATGCTGTCCCTTGAGTGCGAGCACTCGCACCTGTTCAGTGATCTCTTGCGACGCCTTGGCGGGCTTCCCAAGCCATAGGGAGCGGTATGTCTGTTAAAAACAAAAGAAATCAACTATGCAGCTAACTTTATTGGCCAATAGGTTTATAACACAGTCTTGGAAGGCAGCCAAGCTAGTGCCACAATAATAAAAGGCTCATCTATAAACATAAGGTGAAAAGGCCACTGATACTTCCAAGCCTTTAAAATTCAGCTCCTCTACCACCTATTGTTTTCCCCACCCTACCCCTCCCAGGGAGATTGTTGTGCCAGGGCTAGGACATGCTGGGTTGCAAGTGGAGTTTGTTTTCCTTGCTGCAGCTCAGGCACCCATGCAAGTGCTGCCACACAGTCCAGGTTATGAGAGCTGGTAGTTTACTGGTACGCTGAACGGCACAAGGAGTACAGCTGCCTCAGTACACCAGCCTGTAGCAGTGAGCAGCCACTTTCTCAAGCACAGAGATGACAAGGCTTCCCGCTCCCCCCCAGCCCCAGCAGTTTTTATGCTCAGGACATACTATAAATCAAATATCTTGAGGCCATAACAGGCTCTTCTGATCACAGGATACTTCTAGAGCTGTTACGTGTGTTCTATTCTTGATCACAATCTATTCTCCCAGGGTTTAGGATTGGCAGTGACTGCAACTGTTCTCAGAGCAAGCAGTTAGTTGTAATTGCACGTTAGCAAGCATGATTATAACCCCACCTGAGTATGTGTGTTTTGATACAAAGTGATGGCCATTGGTATGAAACTGCCTGGAAATCTGCTTTTGCATTCTTGAGGGCTGGACTTGGCAGCCACAAGGCTTTAGCGCCAACCAACCACTGCCTCATCAACAATACTGGCAGTCAGCAATCAGGGTTGCAATTTGCAAGACGGAAAAGTAACTTTCATGACTTGCTGCAGGTTCTAACACCTTGGTGTTACTTTCACCTTGCTGAGCTACAGATTTCAGTAAAAGATAATCCACGAGGAGGCAGCATCCTGTGCTTTCTTCTCCCCTCTGCTCTGGGGGATACCGGAGCTCCTGAGCAGAAGCAGTTAGTCCCTTTCTACTCGCAGTGCTCCCCAAAGCAGGTGCTACAAGAATCTCACAGGACTAGGACACTTTCTCACCTACTTCTCACCTCTCCCCATCCTTCATCAGAAAGGCCAATCATTTACGCATCAACAGCCATCTCCCCCAGAAAGCCACGCTCATGCTCACCCAGGTGTGTTGACCCAGATAATATCCAGGTGACAGAAGTAAATGCATTCCTTATCCAGCCAGCTGTTGCAGGAACATCGCTTGGTCCTCAGGTGTGCAGCACCGGCTGCAGCAAGGTGGGAATTCAGAGGAGGATGGCCCATACCTGCAGCAGAAGGAGGAAGGGATCAGTCGCAGGCTCGGTGCAAGAGCGCTGGAATGCCTGTCGGTGTGTCACCTCTGCAATCACACCTCCAGTACGGGTTACGCCGATTTCAACATGCAGGCAGTTTTGCAGGAGGTGCAGCCTCACCGATTAGGCTGCAGGATCATAAAGCACTTGCATAACCCCGGGAACTGGGGATGCTGCCCCGGAGCAGGAGCACAGCAGAGCCGCCGAGCTGCGCCCCAGCGGTGCTCCCCACCCCCGGAGACAC